TTATTTTTATTATGTTATTTTATTTTTTCGTTTCCTTTATGTTATGTGTTATTAAACATAATATTTTAAAAATTTTTTTGGTATTTTTAACGACATTTTTAATTAATTTTTTTCATCAGTATGTCAACTCTATTATTTCTACTTCCGCACAAAAATTTTATTTTCTAACTTTCACACAATGTCTATTTAAAAACTTCATGTTACACTTGCTTTCTCTTAAACTCTTTTGAAATATCGGTCTTTATAACGTTCTTGACTCAACCGCACTTATTACAATAAACAAAAATTAAGTAGACGGCGCTGTCAAGACTAAAACAGCAGCTTCGTTCCTCAATTTAAAAACTAAACACTTCCAAATACCTTTCTATAACTCTAAATGCAYACAATATTCAACAAATAAGACGCTGTGTTTCCACAGGCAATAACTATTGCCGTACAGTAGTAAAATTTAAGCGCCAAAGTAGTTGGCAACATTTTTGTTGCGAACATTTTAGGACTTAAATATTTTAAAATGGTGTCAGATAGAGAAATTCAAGAGAAATAGAAATTTGATTACGAATTTTTTGTAAAAATTGAAAAATGTCACTTAAAAAATAAAAAGAGTCAGAMTTTATATTTTTTATTAATTAGAACTTCAAAAATATTTTCAGGCGAAATAAATGTATGGAGTAATAGACCTAAAACTTTTCATTYCCCTATATTTTGTTATATTTTTTTATTTTTGTCTTAATTCGCTAAATTGTAATCTTATAATTCCCCGACCAGTCACTTATTAGTCAATTAACTTATAGTTTAATAATATTTGGAGACTGTATTGGCAACAATAACAGCAATAAAATTATTCAGGCAACACGCATTGCTTGTCGAGATACCCATTTATATAGATCYAAACAAAAAAACAAGCGCATACAGCGTTTTGTATGATAGCAACAGAGCGCTTCTTAAGCCCGCGTTGTGTTCGTGTTTTTTTCCGCCTTCGCCTTCTTCAATCTTCAATATGTTATGTGAGTAAATAGTGATAACAAATGCATTCTAGTAAAAGTTATTGTTTCTTACATAAGTTGCATTGTATTCAAAATTAATGTCATTGCTTGAGACGTGTCTACACTAATTAGGCTGTGTTCATACACAGAAACTTTTGTTGCTCATGATCATTACAAAGCATGAGAACTGCCACGAACAACCGCGTGTTGCTCGACCACAATCAACTCGGCGATCTGACGCAGCAAAAACAGAATCTRTGTGGGTACCGGCACTTAGCTAATTTTTAAGAAGTGGCCAATCCGTAGTCCACATCGCGCATGATTCATACTTATCAGCAGCGTGCAGCTATTACGGCTTCTGTTAGGCTATCAAGCCAACAAATTTTGAAAATAGTAGGAATGCGTAGAGACTATCATCTTAATGGTTTTCGGAACTATTTTTGCTAATGCATTGTTTTCATTTTTTTTTAATTCTCGCGATTTTTGGTTTTAGTATTTTTATCTCTGGAAAATTTCCATTAATCATCAATAATACACTTTAATTTAGATAAAATGTAATCACTTCATATTTCWTTTAACTGCTTAGTATGAAAAAGAAAGTGAAAATACTCCAAGCAATAGTAGAAAACAATTATTCAAAATGCCTTGAAATATTTGAGATTATAGATACCTTTCAGCAATTGGTGSGTTCTAGCCTTTTACTTAAAGAAACATATATAAAGGTTCATTTCGATTTTCCCTACTTTTTTAAAGAAATTAGTGAATGCTTTTTTATCGGAAGAATATTATTTAGTATTTATTTTTATATTTATGGTCCAATTTTCGATGACTCGTTCGAGTCTTTTGACTAGTAACTGGTGAATGAAACAGAGCGGGACTGTTCGCATAG